GCAACGGGGCCTGCTGCAGAATGTGGCCCGTTGCGATTTCTCATGCTCGTCATCTTGCCTTGCCATGTTCTGTCTGTCCCCGTTGTGCAGAGCCCCCCTTCCAGAACTCCAGAAGTCTCGTGTGAATGATGATGTCGTATCGTAGATCTCCAGAGGTGGGCTAAAAATCAATATTTTGCCAGCCCAATATCAACCATTGCTCATTGCAGCCGTGTGAGCAACCCAATTGGTCGCGTTAATCTGACTCGTCCGGGTCATCGGGTCAGACAAAATCGTCAGCGGGCCTCTTTGGGTCATTTATTGATTTTAAGAGAGGTTGTGACAGTCGCTTCCATCAGCCTCCAGGTCCTGGTCGCCCTCCAGCAACGCCGGCCGGATGCAACGGGCGACTTGATGTCAAGGCTGAAGAACCATGTAAGAATAGCTTGGCCTGCCTCAAATGGAGCCATGCTGGTTGCTTCGCTGGCTACCTATCACCGGCGGACTTCAATGAATCTCGTCATCGCAATTAGCACTGGTGTCGTCGTTGCCCGCACAGACTCGACCAAGGCCAAAGTCAAAGGCGTTGGAACGAACCAGATGAGACTCCCTCGTTCATCTCATCTTTTCTGCTCCTTCGTCCCTCCTCATCTCCCCTGTTGCAGCCACGTCAAGGATATCGTAACCAAATTTTGAAAAGCGGTCAACGGCTGGGGAAATAACAAGCCAGGGTCCAAATAGGCCATTGCCAATGCCAACGGGGGCCTAGATATCCAATTTGATCAATCCATCGAGAAGGCATCCAGGGGGCGGCCATGGGGCAGACAGCGGGCTACGTGGACGGGAGACAAGCCGATCGATCGGGTCAATGAGCCTATGTCCGGAGATGGAAATAAGCCCAGAGGGGAAGGGGGCCGGTCAGACGTGGATGCGACCTCGTACAGCAACGGCCAAGTCCAGGAGACGGTGAGCATCATCGTTGTTGAGCGACACAGTCGGCGGTTTGAGACTCAGGAGTAGCTTCGCGGTTTCGACGGCGGCGGCGGCGACGGCGACGGGCCGTGCGGTCGGAGACAGGGCATGTCAGCAGCTGCCAATCGAATGGCAGCAGGGCACAGATGGAAGATGGAAGTGCTGTGCTCAGGTGCTGTGTTGTGCGCTGTGCTGTGCTGCCCAGGCTGTGCTGAATGGTCGAACAGTCAGTGTGTGGCACAAGCCGCTCCGTGGCTCGTGCCGGTGTTGGCGGGCGATAGACCGCGACGGACGTGCCACCGATGGCGAATAAGATTTGGAGGGGGCATCGGTGATGATCACCGTGAGACCGAGGCCTTCAGAGGCCACGTCGACTGGTTTGTTGTCTGCCTACCTATCTGAGTAAAGACAAAGTGCGGCAGGATGTATGGATGCAAGGCACTACCACCCAAGGTATCTTGCGGTGAGCGATGGATGCCTCTGGTGCTGCGTAGGTCGGCCGCTGACGACGTCCACCTCATTGCTATCTGTGTCAGCAAGCCAGGAGGTTCGGGCTGTTGGCCCGGGCTCCAGAGCAGAAACGAGCGACGAAGCAGCAAGCAGGCAAACAACAAACAACCTACGACAGTGCTCCCCCAGACCCTGTCGGCGCGGTGCGGGCGGGAAGGGCACGTTTGGCAGGAATACCGTTGGCACCTTTGAAGATGGGGGGTTGCATGTTGCATGTCGCAGTGCCATTCTCATCTCGTGTCGGCGGCCCCAATGGAACGTATAACGGGGATTCCATTAAAGAGTCTTTCGTAAGTTATTGCGCCTCGGTGCACCCCCTCTTGGCTTCGTCGGCTACCATCGACAAGGCATGGGAACCATTCTTCGCGCTCTTGCAGACGGGTGTGGTAACGTGAAGACGAATAAGCGATGGCGCGCGACCAAAGTATCTGCACTTTTGGGCGCGAAGCAGACAGAAGAAGGAAGACGATGTCCCAGGCTGTCAGTCACCGGCAGGGGTTCAAGCCCGATTGAGACTGGTTCCTGCACAAAACGAATAGTACGATGGGCCTAAGGTAAGGTACCTTATCTCCCTATGGCGACGATGCGATGCGGATTGAAAATGCAGCAAATGCAGATGCGGGCAGGTCGAGTGCCCGTCATACGCCAACTGTCGCGCCGGTGACTTCTGCCGTAGGTGGTGGCTGACGACAGCCTGGGTCGTCTGGCTTGGCGCGCATGCAAGAGTCTGCATGTCGCGATTACTGCGTCAATGGCGGCCAGTTTTTGTGTATCCTGGCTCAGTTGAGTGGATATCCGTGCATCGATCGCATACGGTACTTTGTTTGGCAAGGCCATCAACCGAGTATCTCCAGTCCCGTCTGCTGAGGAGCATGCGTGAGCGAGCAAGCACAGCGCCGTAAATGCGCAGAACCTTGTGACAGGAGGATGAATGATACTCTGAGTCCGGTACCGATCCTCGGGCCTAGCTAGGTTGGTGGTTGCAGGCAGAGGATGCCACGACGGGCATCCCACGGGCATCCAAGGTCTGCCCTCACGGGCACAGAGGCTCCCATCCCACTGCAAGTAAGGGAAGTGGGCGGAGTGTGCAGGTCGTCTGGCGGCGGCGGCAAGTAACGCGACTGGAAAGTTCAAAGTCAGAGTCATAGGAAGTCAGAGTCAGTCCGAACGTCCGTCAGCATGTGTGTGTTCTGGTCTGGATTCGTGAGTGTCTACCTTAGGTAGGTAGGTAGGTAGGTAGGTAGGTGGATGGATACTGACCACCTTACATAGCACGTGAGAGAGCTTGTCGGTTGTTCGAGCGTCGCGGCGTGCCTGAAGCTAAAGAGTCCAGGGCCGAAGACGGCTCTCCGGCGGAGATGTGAGCTGCTGGAGCTGGAGCTGGAGCTGGGCTGGCCTGGGTTGGTGTGCTTGCCTGGGTGAAAGTGGAGGGTTGCGAGAGGGGCGTGGGACCCTGGGCTCCTGGGAAGAAAAAAAGACACTGAAGTGGTTCACGGCGTCGGGCCCCTGCAACAGGGTGAGTGTCGGGTGGTTCTGGGCCCTTTCCCTTTTGCCATGTCTTTCCCCGTTTTGTTCAGGGGTTCAGGGCCCGAAAAGACGCTAAGGTGGAAAAGAGGAATGGCGACAGGGGTTGGAGAACGATTCAAGGGGGGCCGGCGGGTGCATGCTGGGTTCTTCCTTTCTTCCTGTTGTTCAGCGCCTTTTTTTGCCATTCCATTTGGGGAGCCATGCGCGGCCAGGAGACAGGAGGCGACGGACGGGGCAATGAGAGTCGAGCCAATGGTCTGATATTAAACGAATTAGTTGATCAAGATATATGAAGTTGGGCAGACCACACGGAGAGCATCGGTCGGTGCTGTTGGTCAAGTATGCGTACACAGGTGCTCGTATCTGCCCGTACCTATCTACCGTGCCTTACCGTACCTTACCTTAGGTAAGGTAGGTAGGTATGGTAGGTGGTGTAGCTAACCTTGCCTTGCCTTGTCCTAAGCCATTGAAGTTGAAGCCGAAGAAAGGGAAGCAAAAAGAGAGGGGAAAAAAAAAAAAGCAGAGACGGACAAAGCAAGGAGTCTCGGCGCGTCTATGCGACTGGCCAATTCCCAACCTGTGTTCGTCCCCACAGTCCCAGCGGCGGTCACAGGTGTCACTGCAATCCGACAGTTAGGCTCCATCTTTGACTCGAATGTTGCTTCCTTTTGTTTGCGCGACGCGGGCAATCTGAGGCCCAGACAGGCACAGCAAACCTACCTAACTACCTTACCTTACCTTAAGGTACCGTACCTGCCATTTGCCGATGTGCCTACCTAGGTAAGGTAGCTAGCGACAGCGGCATGCAGGTAGGTACTGCAAGGACTGCGAGGTTAGAACTTCGCACAGGAAGGCAAGGCAGGTAGGTGGCATCAAATGTACGTACCGGCCGCGAAGTGACAGTACCCTGCCTGGGTCCTTCCTTGCGCCGCACAGTAGCTCCCGGCATTCAGGCCATTCTTTCATTCAATTCAGTGGAGGAGAGGACCGTCTGGCCAGGGCATGGGATGGGATGGGTGATGGAGGGGGGCGCATCCCATCCACCTCCCATCCCATCCACCCCGTCCACGTCCATGTCCACGTCCACGTCCACGTCCCCAACCCATCTTATCCCGTCCCATCAATCAATCAATCCATCCCTCCTTCGGCCGGCCAGCAAGCCAGACAGACGGACAGACAGACAGCTTCTTTTTCGGCTGCGCGTTGCGGCTACTTTTCCCCATCATACTTCCCCGAAAGCGCATCCTTCCGACGCCTTGCCTTACCTTACAACCTTCGCCTCAACTCTTCTCTCTCTTTTTTCTTGTTTTCTTTTTCCACTCTCCCCCCCCCCCCGTTCGTTCGCTCGCTCGCTCCTCCTCGGCCCTGACTGAGCACCGTCAACCCTTCGCCTCTTATCTGGAATGCTCTCTGCTTCCCTCCCCGCCATCCTCTCTTCCTCCGCCTAAACCTTCGGCTCCGTCGTCATCGCTTGGCCTGTCCCGACTGGACTCTTCTCTTCGCTTCCCAACCTAACCCTTTATTCGTAATACTAATATTATCCCACCTCACTATAATCTATACCTTACCCTGTCGGGCCTGACCTTGCCTTACCTTACCTTGCCCTCCCTCCTTACTCACCCGCCCTTTTTCACCACAACGACGACCCCGGACCTGTTCTTATTCGCCCTTCTCGCGACCCCCTCCTTCAACCAGGGACTCTCCTGCCTGTCATGTCTATGTGCGACTGTTGAACACGACGACCTGGACTTCTTCAACGCGGCTCCCACCCAGCTGCACAACGACCTTCTCTCTTTTCGCCCACCACAAACTACACCAACAGCCAACCGGTGCTTCGATAAGCGCCAGCGTCGCACAGGGTTTGATCGCTCCAAATTCGCCCATTCGCCCTGCCGCGCCTTGCACGACTCCCATTCGTACTCTGTACGTCCTGTCAAACGGCTGCGGCGGTCGTCACACACCAGATGGTCTCTGCAGTCTGTCAGTAGGTACCGAGACACACCTTGTACACCATGGCTACCTCGACCGGTCTCCCGCGCATGTCCTTCGGGGCCAGCAAGTCACTCGACCTTTCTCTGGACCTGCCCATTGTCCTTTTGCCTCCAACAGACGACCCGCCTTCGCCAATTGACGAGAGCGACGACGAGGATGATCAGAGGACACCCACAACCGCAACGATCCCACAGATTCCTGAGCGAAGCATCCGCCGCGACAACAATGAGTCTCCGACACTCGGCAGCCCCAAGGTCCCGCGCCATCCTATCCCCTCTATGCAATCTGCTTTCAACGAGTCCTTCCTCGAAGTCGCCGATGGCAACCCCGCCGCCAAGCCAAAGTTGAAGACGGCTGACGCAAAGATCCGTCGCGAAGAGCTCATAAGCCAGGAGCGCGAAGATGACCTCCCCGACATGCTCTGGCGTTTCCGTCCTGGCCAGCAGCAGCACGAGCTTCACAAGCTCATGGCTCAAATATCATTTGGCGTCTACTTACTGCTCAATGGCATGGCCAACAGCGCTGCTCAAGTAGTTAGCATTCTCCAGGGACACATCGATGAAGTGGACGAGTTTCTTGAGGTTGTAATGGAGGATTTTGAACAGGCTTCCAAAGACTTGAAGGAGAGGATAGACTACCTGCGCTTGCCGATGGAAAATCTGGAAGTGTTTGAGAAGCTGTTGGAGGACCGTAATTTTCGACTGGAAATTGTCCAAGGGAACGAAAAGATTGAGCACATTGTCGCCCGCACCAACATCCAGCTCGAGCAATACGACAAGGATGTACAGCATGGCTTAGCTGCGACGAAGGAGTTTGCCATTTACCTAGCCCAACAAAACGCCGGCACATGGCGCCAAGATCGACCAGATGTCGTCGACATTTACGCCGCCATGAAGGGCAACACGGAGGGCTGGTATAACGCATTTGTTGAGTTGCAGGCTCAAGGGAAGGAACTGAACGCTCTGGTTATCAGGCTTGGCAAAATGGTGGCGGAGATGAGCAGGAAGGCTGGTGAAGTCAGCAGGAGAACTTGGGTGAGTGACAACGAAACGATTGGGACGAAATTTAGAGCTAACGAGGACGCAGGCGAGCATCCCACCATTCACTTTGCCGATTCAAGGACCTCGAACTGATGAGGCCTCACTCAACTCCCCGCCGGCTTCTCCCCCTTCTCTCAGGAGCGCAAGACGATCAACGCTCCGCGCCAACAGCGTCAGTGGCTCCATGTCCACCGGAAGATCAAGCTCGAATCCAAGTTATTTCGAAATCCCTGTACAAAGGCCGTCTCCAGCGGCTTCGCCAGACCGACAATCCACGCGCACCGCCCAGACATCGCAAACAAATAGGAGCATCCATACTGCTAGAAGTACGCACACTAGCAGAAGCAACCACACGACCAGCAGCTCTCGAACGACCGGCAGCTTCCACACTACTCACAGCAACCATACTGCACCCAGCTCGCATTCGGTTCACAGCTCAGTACATAGCACGCACAAAGTTACACCGAAGCTGACCTTGGAGACGCCTGATGGTCCGTCGGGGTCTTTCGAACCCGAAGAAGTCGAAGTCGCCATTGACGACGCTCCGCTGTATATCCTGCAGCCTCGGACATATACGCCTCAGCCCCCGGAACCTCTACCCTCGCCTATGGTGACTGAGTCGCCCAAACCTGAGCCGCAACGAGAGGCCCCCGTACCAACAAAGAAGACTTCGCTCCGACAACGAGTCTCGCTCAAGACAACGCCTCCGGAGTCCATTCAAATCCCTCCTCCCGCTACAGACCTACACCACTCCCATGCTGAGAGAGAATCGCCCCGGCAATACCAGGCTCCCGATTCAGCGTACGGCTCAGATATCGACCAACGACCGCGCTACCACAACACCAATGAGCTGTCTCCGCAGGTGCAGCAACCGCCAGTCCTGCCCTCTCCTCGGTCTGAGCACCAGTTTTACCGCCCGGTGCAGGCAAGCCCGCATTCTCCTCTGCAGCAAAGGCCCCTTACGGCTGGTGCGCAACCTCGGTCTCCTTATGCTCAATCTGGGTACTATCCCTCCCACCAGAGGAACGCACCCTCCCGCTTGGGTGGCGCAAGTATGTTGAGTACCGTCACGACTATGACTTACGATTCTCAAGCCACGGCTAGCGGTGAAAAGCGACTGAAGAAGAAGCGCAGTGCATTCGGCTGGTTGAAGAAGGCATTCTCTCTCGATGAGGAAGAGCGGATGGCATACGAACAGCGGAGGCAGCAACAAACGCCGAATATGTACTACGATGCCAGAAGCCCCAAGTTCTTGGACGGCAAGAGAGTAACACCGCGCTGAGACGGTGCCTGATGGCCATGTGGCCCGGCCTCACACCGACAACATGGGGCCTGGAGGCTCTCTCCGTCAGCTTGGCACGCTGTGGCCCGGTGCATTTCCTAAACTTGCCCTATTGCGTGTCTTTACCCAGCCTTGGCATAAAGTGCGACATTGATACCCGGGGCGTCCACTGATCATTTACCATTGCATTTATGCGCGTCCATCACACTCGCTACTGCCCCATGCAACCACCTTGTTTGCAAGGAACCATCAGTATCCAGCATTTTCTTTTACATTTCTACATGTATATTGCTTAGGAAAAGGAACTCACAACTTGGGAAGGGAAGCACTGAACACTGTCATCCTGCCAGGTGTTGGGGCGTTTTGCAATAAGGGAGCGAACTGTTTATTTTCTGATGCATTTGAAAAGCCTGGCTACCTTTTTCTTGTGCCCATGATTCGCCCGTAATGTACGATTCGATGAGAATCCGAGAGAACAACGGCCAGAAAATCCTCGGCCCACTATAGATAAAAGATCTTCCGTGGTACGGGTTCTTGATTGACATACGTCTCCGTGCTTGCCTGTTTGGTGCATGTTGCCTGCAGAACCTCGTAAGCCATGCGTTACACGAAAACATGACTGCGTATCCAAAGTGTGGAACAGACAATTCCTGCACGCCTTTCTGCGACTTAGACTAAGAACGACACATTCTTTAATAGGCTAAGGCTCTGGCCCATGGGACCCTTTCGCCTCCATTAACTATAAAAGGCAAATGCAAGTACTCGAGTCGGTACAACTGCTGATTCTCACTTTTCGTCTTCTCATGAGGGCCATGTTTTAGCGGAAAGTAGGACGAAAGTGGACATTGTTTGCATGTGATTTATCGTTGGCGGCATGCCAGTGCAGACAAACATGACTGGGGTGGCGTTGCTATCACAGCACGAGCTTACACCGGATGGTCTTTAAGATCTGCTTCCTCCATTCTCTCGTTCCTATCCCTGAAGGACGAGAACTCTGGCTTGCATCTCTCTCTGTTCGTGATACCATGGCTACAGGCGCAGAAGCAACGAGAGTACCCAAGACCTGGTTCATCACAGGCTGCTCGAGCGGCTTCGGCGAGATCCTCGTCAGGAAACTATGCGCCGAGGGGGAGAACGTCATCGCCACGGGCCGCCAGGCCGACGTCAAGCTCGCGCATCTCCAGGACACGGGCGCGAAGGTCATGGACCTGGACATTTCGGCTTCTGAGGTCGTCATTCGGGAGACGGTCGAGCAGGCGTGGGCGGCGTTCCCCGGCGGCGTCGATGTTGTGGTGAACAATGCGGGATATGTGCTCTCTGGGTTGATTGAAGAGTTGACGTGAGTTTTGTTCTTTCTGTACATGACCTTGGGGCGTGGGGGGAGTTGCAATGGAATGGATGAGGCTGATGAATGAAAGGGAACAGACAAGAACAGATGGAGGAGTGCTTCCGCACGAATTTCCACGGGCCGCTGAACATCGCGCGTGCGTTTCTCCCGTTCCTGAGGGAGAGGGGGACGGGGACGCTGGTGTTTCTCAGCTCGCAGGCCGCGTGGCACGTCGATATCTCTGCTGGGGCGTACTGCGCCAGCAAGTTTGCGTTATCAGGTGCGGACCTTTCCCTTCCTGTATCTCATCAACACTGTTGGAACTCTCTGAGAACATTGTGCTAACCAAGGGGGTAACCCCGAGCTAGCCGCCGTCGAGACACTCGCGCAAGAGCTCGCGATCCTGGCGCCGGGTTTGAAGGTTCTCATGGTCGAGCCGGGGTACTTCCGCACGAGGGTGTTCGTCAAGCTCGCGCACATCCCGCTGCGGATCCCAGAGTTTGCGGGCTTCAATGCGGCTTGTGTGGAGCAGGGAGCCAAGATTTACGGGACGGAGCCCGGGGATCCGGAGAAGGCTGTTGAGCGGATGGTGGAGCTGGTCCGGGGCGAGGGGATGGCTGAGGGGCGGGAGGTGCCGCTGAGGGTTCCGTTGGGGACTGATGGGTGGGGAAGGATCAAGAAGAAGTGTGAGGATATGGTCAAGGTTTGTGAGGATTGGGAGGATGTTGCAAAGAGCACGGATTGGTAGGGCAGTGGATGGGCTATTGCTTTGGTGTTAGTCAAGCTCAGGCCCTTGGAGTTGCATTGCTAATCGATGGTTTTAAATGAGAGCCGTCCACGCTCTTTATATACTGATGAAGTATTAAGAAAAGATCAATGCTGATGAGAGCACAAGCATCTGATTGTTTTCATCTATGGCGAGTCAACTCACTGCCCAGCGCCGTAGCTCTTAACCCTGCTGAAATAAAAGGGCTTATCGTTCTTCAGGGCGAACTCGCCCCAGTCATCCGTTAGCTTGTTATAGCTATAGAAGCCCTTCCAAACGAGCTTCGTGTTCCGCGCCCCCTTACCAGCGTTTCGCGTCGACATATCCATCTTGTACATGTACTTGGGCGCGACTCCCTCCGTCTCGACGAAGAGGTCGCCTTCTGTCTCACCCAGAGGTGCATCAGAATGGTCTAAAGCTGACGACAACCGCCAGCGTCCCTTCAGGGCGTCCTGCATAAGGATAGAAGGGAGATGAGCTGCGTTGCCACCGACGTGCTGCTCCAGGTGGCTTTTGGTCATGTAGTGCACGACGTCGCCCGGCTCGGCGGTGGTGAGTAGGCTTATGACCGTACCGTCGCGGAAGAAGCGTAGGTAGCGGTAATATGTGACGATGTGAACAGGACTGTTCCAGGTGATCTGGTTCGCGTTGGCTCCGCCAGCGCGGATGTAGTTCACCGTGGAGATGTAGCACCCGTTGAAGCGAATGCGAGGTCGGTGCCGCCAAAGCTTCAGCCACGACGAGGAATACAGCTCCGGTAAGAGGACAAGAGTTGTTGCTTCCTTCTCTTCCTCACGATGTTGGTTGAGCTCCTCCATGCTGACAAAGTCTGTGTCTTCAATTTCCTCCGCCGTGCCCAGGGGCTCCCACGAGATGCCCTTCTGCCAGTGGTAATGCATTCCAGCAAAACCGAACTCGGTGCCCATTGCGATGCGACGCCAGATGGACTGCTCCGTGGCGACAATGTAGGCGAAACGCTTGCAAACGAGAGACAGACGCACGTAATCGCCAACATCAAGAACAGCCAGGTCCTTGAAAATGTGGACTAGAATTTCCTCGGGTAGTTCGGCGATGGGGCAAGGAGGCGCCGGGTCTCCCTCCACTGGAGGAGGAGCTGCTGCCACAGAGAGACCTGAGAATCTCGCGATGAGCTCACTCATAGTCTGCTGCTGCGTCTCTGCTGACTTATCGGCCGCACTTGAGGTGGCGGCCGGCGTGGCTGACGTTGCTGTCTGCACAGGCTTCCCCACAGCTGCAGGGAAATGCTTTTTCCTGTAGGCCAAATCCACACGGTTGTCCATCTTGATGGAGGTGTTAGATATAATCACTCACGTATGAGAACCAGGCTGTTACTCACCCGGAAAGCCTTTCGGTAGAGCTTCAAGCTATCGCCCAAATTACCAATTGCCTCCTTCTCCACCGCCTCTTCAAAGTGATCCAAGGCCGAGACCAGCTCCTTCGCCTTTGGTGGTTCCGGCTGATCCAAAGTCCTCCCTGAAGACGGCGGAGGTGCCGGCTCATCGATTGTCAATGCACGGGCATATTCCTCGTCCTCTTCAATCTGGGACTTCTTGTTTGTTGCGGTTCTAGAACTTTCAGGGGCTACAATCGCCTTGGACGATGAGGGCACGGCTTTCTTTGAGTGAGATCCGCGCGGCTCTGGAACCGACTTCTTGGACTGAAGCTCCGTCTTCCATTGTTGACGGAAAGACTCCAGCTCGGAGTCGAGCTTTGGCGGGTTGTCTTCCATGGTAAGGTACTTGTGAGTTGCTCAGGAAAACCTGAGCTCTGGAGCAAATGCTACTTCTATAATAATGTCATGAGGGTCGACTGAAAAATAAAGAAAAAGTTGTGCGATGGAGTTGAGAGTGTGGTCGGCCCAGGTGGTTGACGATGTACCTATTTAAGAAATGAGATGTAGTTGAGGCCGACCACTCATCATCGACTCTGCGTTGTAAGCACGCACGCCGACAACTGGAGTCATCCGGCGTCAGCTCCACCGGGCTGGTGCTTATCGGTGACATTTAGTGCAGGTGTGGAACATCGGAGGCACGACCCGATGTCGAGCCAATCATACCCCATTTTCGGTTAGTGACGTCCTGAGCTCGGCTCGGCCAGGCAAGGTACGTGCCCCAACGCCACCCATCTCATTATCTCCGGCCCAAAATTTTTGGGGAAGAAGGACGATGACGGCCGGACTCTGGCAAACGGGGTAAGGTCCATCTCGCCCATCTCCCCCTGCTCGAGCGAAAAAGCTCACGAAAGCTTGTCTTCCCCTCATCCGTCTTTTCTTCTACGACACGACTCGCAACCCTTTGGCCTTGTACGACGTTACACAGCACTTGCGACCGGATGGGGACTTCCTCTTTCTCCAGCTCCGATCTCTCCGACCATGCAACTTGGTCCGCGATGACTACCATACACCAGGCTACCGGCGGCCAGGACCACGACAGATTCGACCCGGATGACTCCTTCGCCATGGCGCGCATGATTCCAGGCAAGGACAATGGTCCAGGAGGCGGTGACGAGGACATCAGCGCGTCTCAAAAGATGATCTCGGCCATGTCGGGCAGTCTGTTGACGTCGCTTCTCGGTAAGTACAGCTTTTGCATATCGATTCAGTCGCCTTCCGCTAACGCGGCTCACTACAGTTACGCCGCTCGATGTTGTACGAGTTCGATGGCAGTCCCAAACCGTCACCCCGCCTTCGGTAGACTTTTCCAAGCTTGCGATGACGACCAACACCCTGAAGACCTTTAATCGAGAGACGCTCGGAGTTACTGCCTGCTGCAGGGAGGTCTTCTTCATGAATGGCAACTCTGAGCTGTGCATAGCCATGCCTAAAGCGGAGGGCGCCGCGACCGCAGTGGCGGCCGATTGTGCCGTCGAGGAGGTGGAGCGAAAGACAATTAGCTCGACCATGGACGGACTTAGGAAGATTGCGCGCAACGAGGGGTTCACCAGCCTGTGGCGGGGTCTGTCTCCGACGTTACTCATGACGATTCCGGGAAACATCATCTACTTCACCGGCTACGACTACCTGCGATACAACAAGAAGAGCCCGATCGCGCAGAGGCTCAACGACGACACCGCTCCCCTTGTCGCCGGCTCCGGAGCTCGCATCCTTGCCGCCGCCGCCGTCAGCCCGATCGAGCTGTTCCGCACCAGAATGCAAGCCAGCACCGGAAACTCTGCAACAGGCCACCTTGCCAACACGTTCCGAGGCATCAAGGACATGGTCAACGCCAGCGGCTACAGCGCGTTGTGGAGGGGCCTGACCTTGACGTTGTGGAGGGATGTGCCCTTCTCGGGTATCTACTGGTGGGGGTACGAGACGATCCGGGGAAAGCTGACGGACCTGCGCGAGACCCGCCGTGGCCGAACGCTGGACGTCAGGGGTTCTCGGACACAGGCGCGCCGTAGATCGCAAAGCCAGGAGAACCATACGGAAACCTTGACGGATAGCTTCATTGCCGGTGCTGTGTCTGGTGGATTCGCATCGATAGTGACGATGCCGTTCGACGTGGGCAAGACGAGGACTCAAGTCTACCGCGACTCCCCCAACGCTACTAAGATGGCTGCAGCTGAACAAGGCACAATGATTCGCCTGCTCTGGCACATATTTTCGACCGAAGGTATCCAGGGCCTCTGGAAGGGATGGATTCCCCGCACTCTAAAGGTTGCCCCGGCCTGCGCCATCATGATCAGCAGCTACGAAGTCGGCAAGCGAGTGTTCAGGAGCGTTAATGAGAAGTCGAGGCGGGACATGGACTGAAGACACAGCATCACCACTCTTTCCCTTTCAATGCATTGTTGGGCGTTAAAACGGCGGGCTGCTATTAATGAACCGGAAGGAAAAGAATCCGGGCCTGGAGTTGCACGCCAAACGACACGCAGATGTCGTGGTTTGGGTTTATTAGACGTGGGAAAACCAAAAACTTGTACTATGTAGCGAAAGATGTAATGATACCTCCCCCACAACACGACTTTTTTGTCTTTTGATGTGTTTAAGCTTTTGATGCCAAGTTGGACGAGAATTCGCTTGACGAACACCAAGATGACAGGATGCACCGTCCAATGACACCCTCCCGATGCCGCGTCGGACGCCTATGAAGTCACCACTTCGTCCCAAACGACGCCCATCTCAGGGGAACATGCGGGTGCCGCCGAGCCAACCTAAGCTGGGGGCGCTGCAGGGCTGCAGCTCCCACGCAGCTCCCCCGCGCCCCTACTAACCACTAAAACTCGAGGCAGGACGCGCCTGAAAGAGCGGGCCACCGGGGGTTTTCGCGTAAATGACTTCCTTTTTTTTTCTTTGCTCTTACCGGTAGCGCGTCGCCCCACGCGACACTGGACGGTCCGCAGACCGGCACTTTCAGCTTTGGCCAGGCAAAGAATTCTACTACGACGTCCGGCACGCCAACCTCACCTCTTCTTGTCTAGCCGTTCTTCCCCTTCCAATTGACCTCGCCACTATCCATTTCTTCTCTTGTGACCTTCCATCTATGCTCCAACTTTGATTTACGAACCCATTGACGACCAGTTGACGCCTTCACGACCACCCACACATCTCACCACGATTACCCGCCTACGCCTACGCCTGCCCTTCCAGCTGCCAGTTCTAGTCCGCCCTCGCCCAGATCAAGGGGCACTCCACATCACCACTTTCTCCAAAAAGCCGTTCTCCTTCCCCACAAAGACCAAAATGTCGACCCTCAAGCGCAAGGCCGGCACGCTGTCGTCCGCGGACAGCAAGAAACCCAAGCAGGACGGCAGTATCATGTCCTTCTTCGGCGCCCCGAAACCGGTTGCTAAAGGTTCCGCCGCCGCCGCCGATACGCCGGCTCCCAAGTTCGACAAGGTGAAGTGGGTCGCCGGACTGACGGCCGAGCAGAAAGAGCTGCTCCAGCTCGAGATCGACACTTTGCACGAGAGCTGGCTGGCACACCTTAAGGATGAGGTCACGAGCAAGGAGTTCCTCGACCTCAAGAGGTTCTTGAACAGGGAAACTAGTGCAGGAAGGAAGTGGTTTCCTCCAAAGGAGGATGTGTACTCTTGGTCCGTTTCCCGATTCCACTACCCCAGCGCACTCAATACGTGTATGCTAACATAGCTTCAGGTCCCGTCATACCCCCTTCAACAACGTCAAAGTCGTCATCGTCGGCCAAGACCCCTACCACAACCACAACCAAGCCCACGGCCTCGCCTTCTCCGTCCGCCCCCCGACCCCGGCCCCCCCTTCGCTCAAGAACATGTACATTGCCCTCAGGAAGGACTACCCGAGCTTCAGCCCGCCTCCCAAGAACGGCGGCCTGCTGACCCCGTGGGCGGACCGCGGCGTGCTCATGCTCAACACCTGCCTGACGGTCCGCGCGCACGAGGCCAACTCGCACTCGAACCGCGGCTGGGAGCGCTTCACGCAAAAGGTCATTGACCTCGTCGCGCAGAAGCGCTCTCGCGGCGTCGTCTACATGGCGTGGGGCACGCCCGCCGGCAAGCGCGTCGTCAAGATTGACGCCAAGAAGCATCTCATTCTCAAGAGCGTGCATCCCAGCCCGCTGAGTGCGTCGAGGGGCTTCTTCGACTGCGGACACTTCCGCAAGGCCAACGACTGGCTTGTCGAGCGGTACGGCGCTGGCGCCGAGATTGACTGGGACCTGAGCGGGGCCAAGAAGGTTGAGGCCCCGGCCCCGGCCCCGGCCCCGGCGGAGAAGAAGGAGGAGGACGACGATGACGAAGTCGACGAGGACGCCATGGCGGCTATGGCGGCTGCGGCGGAGGCAGAGGCCGAGACGAAGGCCTCGCCCAAGAAGGAGTAATACTATCGAGAAGACGGTCGTTGGGGCGAACTGCATATGTTTGTCCCCGACGACACGCTTGCTATGTCCGGGCCATCTTCTAGGAATGGCCCGGATCATGACTTGTTTTACTAGATGATAAAGCCTGCTGTTGGCATATGAAGAATCACGCATAGATGCATGTCGGGATTGGCTAAGGTACGAGGCGGTGGTGTTCGGATGGCTCAGGAGAAAATCGAAAGAATGCCATGATTGGAAAATTCATTGATACAGGCCTTGTATGCATTTGCATGGTTACCAATAAGCATGCCTCCTCAGCGGACCTTGGAGACAGTTCCATTGTCGTGGTACTGGGTCTATGCCGACGACTGATCCACCACACTGAGCGCTTCTATGCGCAGACGCCAGAAACCATATCTAGGCCCAGTCCGAAGAGCCATATTCTTCATTAGTGTCGCTGCTTGTCCTGACACAGCTTTTACAACGCTCGCTGCCCGAGATATCCAAAGGCAGTGCTACAGCATCCGTACTATGCTAGCCTCTTACGCTTATGAGGCAGTGCCCGGAACTGGGCATATCCGTCACGACGTTTACTCGGGCTCGTAAACTACTGGTTTGCATAGAGCTGGCTTTGTGGTGACCACTGCTAGGTACTTGGAAGAAATTTCTCGCTCTCACTTGCAGTGTGATATTTTTCCGGGCCAGTTGTAAACACTTTCTCATAGTGAGCTTCTGAGTTGACAAAACCGGACGGGCCTCCGGGTTCCCGGGACCCACATCGCGGTCCCGATTCCAGTGCCGCCCGGGCCGGACGCAAGGACGGAAACCTAATGCGACCGATTAGGTACGCAATGCTGGTGCTCAGGCATGTGAAAGTGTCTCGCGGGTTCATCTTAATCGTTTGTCGAGCGATTGGTCAATGTGCGATTTTCCTTGTTCCCTCAGCGAGAGC